GGTGTAGGGTTTAAGGTTTTGGGGTTTAGGGTCTGGGGTTTAGGCTTTGGGGAGTTAGGGGTCATAGGGTTAACATGTCAGGCTTTCTCCAGCCCTGCAGGCCTACACTAACACTGCAAAACCCACAATGCCTCTTCCCAAAAGCCAACACGCTTGAGCCCTCAATCCCTGCAGCCGTGAGGCCCGTGCTTGTTGCCACAAGCTTTCAACAAAAGCAAGTGCTCAAACTGCAAACAGTTAGGACCACACAGGTACCTTAAGAAATGCGACGTCTTGAGACTGCAGTTTGCGGAGTAACTATTTCTACTAGCTCTACTGCAAAGCCTCTGCGCTGGAGGAAGTTTCAGCATTTGCAGGTCCAGACGCAAGGGGTTCTAAGTACCTGTAATATATGGGGGATACTTGCCGAAACAACAATCGTAGTTCCTATTATAGAAACCATGCTTTCTGCTATGTAGGCACTATAGGACCCTTTGGGAGATCATTCTCCATGTCGGTAATACGTTGACTTCCAAAGACCGCAATATCCATCATGGTCCCTTGGGTTTAGGGGTTGAGGGCCTGGTTTGGGATCCCGATAGTTATAGTTGGTGAGTATTCCCTACCGAAGCTCTTTTGAAATCCCTGGGCCTTATATGATACGATAGCTTCATCCTATATAGCAAGTCAGTAGTGATACGGTTGATGGACAAAATCCTGCATGACCTTATATACCTAAACTATGGGATTTATGGTACTATACTATATTTGGGTCATGCAGAATTTTGCCCATCAGCCGTACTACATATTGTTGTGGTGCATTGTTTACTTTTGGTTGAACCCTTAACCCTCCCTGTGAGGCCACCGAGCAAATCAACCAACTCAAGAAGGAAGGAGCTGAGTGCCGGGAAAAGCTCGGACAGCGCGAGCAGGACTCGAGTCGGAAGAGCCTTTGGGGTTTAAGGTTTAGAGACGAGGGTTGAGGGTTGAGAGATGAGGGTTTAGGGTTTAGGGTTTATATAGGGTTAGGGGTTTAGAGATGATGGTTTAGCGTTCATGGTTTAGGGTTCATATAGGGTTTAGGGTTGAGAGATGAGGGCTTAGGGTTGAGGGTTTATAGGGTTATACCTGAAGCGTTAAGTTTGGGGTACCGCGGGAGTACTACACAACACACCCACAAATCCTTGTCATGGTTCGTTGCATACAACACCCCTTGGTGATTTGTTGATTCCAGGGTTGTTGTGGTTACCCGGACGCTCCTTTGAAGAATAGCACTACCCATGACCCCTAAACCCTAAACCCTAAACCCTAAACAGAATGAATAGAATGCCGTCCCAAACAGCGGGTCCTTGCTTGGGGGGTCCTGGCATGGCTTAGGGCCTGAACGAGGGACGGGCCCCTGTCAGGTGCATCACTTCCAACGCACTTTGAGCACCTTTTAGGGTTTAGGGTTTAGGGTTTAGGGTTTAGGGTTTTGGGGTTTAGGGTTTAGGGGTCGGGGTTAGGGTTTAGGGTTTAGGGTTTAGGGTTTAGCCACGGGTTTTTTTGGTGTTTCCATAACTGTTATGGACGATACAAATTTGATCCATCAGCAGTAGTAGGTCACCCTTGTTAACAATTTGTCATTCCCTCATTCGTCTTGGGTCTCCCGTTCGGGGTTAAGGGTTTAGGGAGAGTCAGTCTTTCAGAATTTAGGATTTTCGGCTTGAGGCTCAGAGCGTTGTGGGCTTGTCAGGGAGCACCCTAAACCCTAAACTCCCGAAGCCCTGTAAACCCTCAACCCCAAGCACTGCCCCAGGAAGCGAAGGACGTGACGAAGATGCTGAAGGACTTTTTGTCTTTTTTTCGGCTAGCAGGTGTTACGGCTTTTAGGGCTTTAGCGGTTAAGGGTGTATGGTTTACTGTAGGGATTTGGGGTTCCATTGCAGATTCCTTCAAGGTTCTTTTCAGTGCTTTGTCGGGCTTATAGTTCTCAAAGCTCAAAGAGGGTTTGCAGATTTCTTGAAGGTTCTTTTCAGTGCTTTATGGGGCTTGTAGTTCTCTGTTTGAGGGTTTTGCAGCGTTTCTACGGCTTGTAGGGTTCGGCGTGAGGGTTAGGGGGTTTTGAGAAGGCGGGGGCCGGGAAACCTTACCCGTGCCCCCCCTCTTAAGGTTCAGGGTTCAGGTCATCGGTTTAGGGTTTAGGGTTTAGGGTTTAGGGTTCTGATGATGCTTTGCCTAAAAACCCCAAAGTAGGTAGAAATAATGGCCCCATACCTCTAAAGGGCTATTTT